GGAACATAGGTACAGTGGAACATGGGAAGCCAGCTTAAATAGAGGCACACCTCATCAGCTGAACTGCGTCCAGGTGAGTCCATCAAGTCTCCGCCCACAGTCACTTGATACTGCAAACAACCAATTAAGCACAACAACAGCCATAATCTTCACAGTACCCTCCCTTCACGAATCGCCTCCAGGCGATCTAAGGTGTTTCTCGGGATGGTCTCGAAAAAAAACTCCTAATGAGTGTGGGGTCTAAAATAAAAGACCTCGGAATCCAGCTTCTCTCCTCCGGCCCGTACACCTCCCAATTGACCAAAAACTGGTGGTCCCATCCTCTTCGACGAACGTCCAGTATGCGTCAGACGGTGTAGGCTGGGTGACCGTCAATAAGCCAGGGGGAGGGGGAAGGTTGGTTGGTGGGTTCAAAGGGCTTTCAACAAAAGGTTTGATTTGCGACACATGAAAAGTTGGGTGAATGCGTAAGGAAGTGGGGAGCTGAAGTCTAACTGCAGAGGGATTAATGATTCTGATTATGGGGTATGGACCGATGAACCTAGGGGCTAGTTTTCTAGAGGTATGTTTTTAGAGGAATGTCACGGGTGGAGAACCACACCTTTTGTCCAATGGAAAACTGGGGAGCTGGGGTACGATGTTTATCAGCCAGTCTCTTGTTTTGTTCTTTGGTTCTGAGAAAAGCCTCCTTAGTCTGTCTCCATAGTCTTCAACATCGTCGAACATGGTGTTGTACGGAGGGTACGGTGATTTCCAACTCCTGACTGGGGAACAGGGGAGGCAAGTAACCCAGAGATGTTTCAAAAGGTGAGAGGCCTGTGGCGGCTGAAACATGCGTGTTATGAGCATATTCTATCCAGTGCAAATGTTTGGACCAGGATGAAGGATTGTTATTGCTTACACAACGGAGAGTAGATTCTAATTCCTGGTTGCATCTTTCAGTTTGTCCATTAGACTGAGGGTGATAGCCAGATGTGAGACTAACAGAGGCGCCGAGTGCATGACAAAWAGATTTTCATACCTGAGAAGTGAACTGAAGGCCCCGATCTGAGACAATGTCAACAGGAATTCCATGTAGGCGAAACACATTGGAAACCATGAGTTGAACAGTTTCAAAAGCTGTGGGAAGTTTGGGTAATGGCACAAAATGGGCAGATTTAGAAAAACGGTCCACGATGGTGAGTATGACTGTATTACCTTCTGATGGAGGCAACCCTGTAACAAAATCCAAAGCCACATGTGACCAGGGCCGTCCAGGGGTGTGAAGGGGTTGGAGGAGTCCTGATG